AGCTCAAAAAAAAAAAAGAAAAGACAAAAAACTGAAATATTACACTCGAATATTAAAACAACAAAAGACAGAGGTATTGGGGAAATACACCGGGAAAATATAAATTTTCATTATAGCGATGAGTCTATTTTTTGTCGCTAATATATATCTCTTACTAAATGCAGAAATATTTATATTATTAATATTATTTTGAGTACTGAAATAATGAAATAGGTTAATCTCAAAAGAAGATGGAAGTATAATATCCCTTCTTAATCTATCTATATGTACATATCTTTAAAATATAAAATATTTCTTCTATGTAGGAAAGAAAAATTTCTACTTATTAAATTTTAATAAATATTTTTTTCAATAATTTAAATAGTCATTTATTTATAAACAAACCAATAACAAATCTTGCTGTCGTTTCGTTAAGAAATGATTTCGCTTGACAGGCATAGGTTTGCTTCTTCTAAGCAGTGGCAAATTATATTCCCTTTTATTTGTTGCTATTATTTAATATAGAATAAAGAGTTTTTATATTTTTATTTATTTATCCATATATTGTTTTATGTGTATTTAAGATATTAAACAGAGACGAACGACAGCCGCTTGAGGAGTCGAACCGAAGCGCAGCGGAAGCCACGCAAAACGAGAACAAGAACAACACAGAAACATAAATGAAAATGAAAACAAAACGGGGAAAAAACATAAACATAAAAATAGAATGACAATGCGTTGACAGTTGTCTCTGAAAGGAAGGGAATACCCTAAGAGCAGGGGAAGCGGAATGCCCGGCAGATTCAGGGCACATTCCAGGATCTAATTGGGAAAAAATATAAATAATTTAATAAGTCCTAAAAAAAGTTCCTAATAAAAATTACTAAATTAATTTTATAAAACTACATACAAAAATTTAGGAATTTAAATCTAATGATCATAGATTTTAGAAGACTAAGTTTAAAGGTTAATCTAATGATCATAGATTTTAGAAGACTAAGTTAAAGGTTAAATTCTCATAAATTAATAACAAGGGTATATTTTAATTCTATAACTATAGCTAATATTTAATTCCCTAGGACACAATGATGTAACCAACCAGCTTATTCTAGAATTTCGTTTTAATATGATCTCTTCCAGGACTCGAATGACATCCTTAATCGTTGCAAGTTTGCTGAGCTGCTAAGCTGCGGTGAGGAAATCATTTTGGGATGGAAAACTGGCATCATTAGGATCACATTTATGGGGATCGGAAGTGACAGAACCCACTCATAGATGGCACATTAATTTTCGCTGGAAATTGGTTTGGCTTAATGTCTGCAACGGGACACTCGGGTCATCTGTCCGATTGTCAAAGGTTTCTATATTGATTTCACAGTTATTGCTGCTGACACAGCCCGGCATTCGAATGAAAAGTGTAATATTTCAATTTTTGAACCGGCCACAATAGTCTAAATGTCCTGAAGGATGGGGAGGACTTTGTCACAACTGCGGACGTGGCACAATTTAAACTGCTCTGACCTCGACCCTCGGACTGGTGACTGGTCATCGGTTCATAGGTCTGTCCACCCCCTTTTCACGGGTCCTGGCCGCCACCACCTCCATTGTCCTGCATTGTCCTGCAATGTCCTGGGCGTCCCGCTTCGGGTTTATTGTTATTGTTATTATTCGAAAGTGTTCCTCCTGCAAAGGACGAACGGAAGTATTCAGGGCCATTGTTGCTGCTGCACTTCTACGGCCTTGACGGGATCAAGGAACAGGGACGGGACCCATCGCAGAGCCCAGGACACGCGCCATACGGGGACTAATGACGAGACCCGAAACACGGAAGACCGCTCAAGTGCTCCTTGGCAGGACACTGGCGAAAAATAGTAGATACATTTTGTAGATATTTGTTTTAAGTGAAAGAAAGTATAACTTTCAGTAATGAAAGTGTCATAAATTTTGCAGTAGTGCCATCAGAATGTGGAGACAATAAATATATATTCACAACTATAAAATGATTTCCCTTTAAAGAATAAGATATAACTTTAAGGAATATACCTATTTTCTCAGTGCCTTTCATCGCTATCTCATCCCTCAAATTGCCAAAAAGGAGTCAACTATCCTTCCATCTGTGGGTGGATGTGTCTATATCTATATATCCCGTCTCTCGATATACTATGTGCGACTCATAAAGCCGGGGCTAAATGATGCAAGCAAATGCCCCTTCGGTTGTTGCTGCTGCTGCTTTTGGCACACACATGACAGCCAGCCAAAAACCAATAATGTTACCAAATTTATTGCTTTTCATTCAAAAATTACTTTTGTTTGTTTCGGTTTTTCACAATCAAATCACACACATAGAAATCCATCCCATCCTATATCTATCTATCTATCTATCTAACCAGCCCGGCCATCCCCCGAGGTTATTTGCCGGACAGGACATCAGTTTTTATATCGCAAAATGTCAACAAGAGTGGCAGCAAACAACAATCAACAAGAAGAAATACTAAAATGAATACAAATAAAATTGCATGTGTCGTAATATCAATTTTGAGATACAAAAATAGGGGACGTTTTCCTGTTTTTAAAGAGGAAGTAGCAGCAGTTGCAGCGAAGTTCTTTTAGAAATATTAAAGGATATAGGTAAGGAGTTGTTTAATATTCAAATAAAGTGCTCTTGTAGATCAATTTAGATTAGATTTTCATTAAAGTAAACCCTTATTCTCTCTATTAACCATATTGACAGCCTATCCGTCTTACCTAAACATCTTCCTTGATATGCTCCCATCAATGACGATTTATTCCCGAGATTAACACAAAAAGGCATTTCATATTTTAGCCAATTAGGAGAACGATCGCAACAAGAGATCCAACAAGCATCACTAATTGGCAGACGTTTAACACTCCCCACTATTTCACTAACTCCGCCTCCAAAGTAGAGCCCATAAAACGATTTCCCAATGAGTATTGGAGGCACTCTGGCTGCCTGCCCAGAGAGGCAAGAGATGGAGATCATCATCATCATCATCATCATCTGCAGCATCAGCAGCATCTTGAGATGAGGAGGAGAACATAAAGGGTAAGGAATATGTTGTAGGCTGCAGTTCCCCCACGCGCTAGTATGCCGATGATTAATTGCTCCGAAAATGTTTGTTTTCATAAACAATTTTTTAATAGACCCTCGCATGTGTTTTGGCTGTCTACGTGGGTCGTGGTGATCTTGGATCTTGGATCTTGGGTGGTGGGGTCAAAGAGTTAAATCGATCCGAATGTTGTCGCTGTCGGATCTTAATGCAGATGACTCCGATGACTCCATGGGAGCTATTTTCGTGTCCTCGTCTGATCGATGCACTCGTGTTGGGAATGTAAAAAGAGTTGATAAATCAAAATGCCTCAAGCTCTTTGTGTCAGACAAATGAGCTGGCAGGCCATTGGCTTATTGAAGGTGTTAATTGGTTCAGCAATTAGGTTGGACCTTAAGCGGTTGAAATTCATAATTCCCGGGATCTTAAAATACATCTACAAGCACTCGAGACAAAAATAGATTCAGAAACAATAGAGCTGGAAAAACATTTTCCCCAAAGCAAGGGAAATTATGAAATTCTTGTGTGTATTTCTGACCGCGATTTTGTACAATTAAAAATAAAAAATGTTTTCAACAGGTGACAAAACAATTTTACGACCCAAAAACCACACGAATGCCATAAAATAGGATTAGCCATCAGAGGGGAAGCTGATGATGATCAAAGGAGAAGGATCGTCTCCTGATGCCTTGTTTTGAGTTAGAGCAACCATCAAATATTTTATGCATTTTAAATTGCTGCTAAAAATAAAGGCAGGCCTTCAATTCCTTCACTCCAGCCATAAATCTCTTTGATGCCTTTCTGAGCTGACAGGTAGGAAAGCAGACACTGGAGACACTAGTCCAAGGACCAAGGACATGGATCTCAAGTGCGTTATGAATATGAAGCAATAATATGTTTATGAACCTCATAACGATGCAATTTATGAGGTCATCTGGCATTGTTCGCCGCTCCTTTGTAGGTCAGCCTTTTGGCCTTTTGTTTTGCCGATCGACAAAAACACATAAATAATCCTCGGATCGATGGAGGAACTGGTTTTTCCAGGGGCCACAAAACAGGCACAGCTGTGTCATGCGGCATGCGGCGTCTACAGGTGGAAGTCGCTACAAAAGCAGGCAGAAACCCAAAGATCCAGTCAGCAAACTAACTGGAAATTAGACTTCAAGATTGTGGAAACTATATTCTGAAAAAATTAGTATTATATGACTTAAAGTGTTAATAAACTAAGAGAATCTGTTTTGATCTTTTAAGAAATGAAATTAAGCTTAATCAGTTTCTAAATTGATAAATACATATCGAAAACTATATATTCATATTCATATTCAAAACTATATTTATATATAGGTTATTTGGTTTCTATCTTTACTGTCATATAAATATTTAACAAAGTCCCTCCACAATATTGCTGAAACCTTCATTAAAATCATAGTATTTAATCATATATTTATCTCAACATTAAATCAATAATTAACATTTATTGTGCCATATTTATATAAACAATTTCCGCTTATCCCACCAGCATATTGATATTAGTTTCATAAATCAGCTGTCAAGACACCTAAATGACTAATTTAATCAATTTAAATATGTGTTTTTAAATGCCATTAATAACTTAACGGTCTAATGGCCATAACTTGAACTGGTCATAAAAAATGCATATTATGACTTTGTGTTTGCTCACAATTTGAATATAATTATGACTGTGATTATGTGGGAAATAATATAGATAGAGATGGGAATCGGAATTCTCAGCATGAAGCCAAAGAGTGAAGCTCTTAGATCAGACCTCAACTGGTTTTCGCTAAGTATATTCAAAATTGTGAATATCTATTAGAGGAATATACTTATCTTTTAGTTTGTTTTATAGATGTCTCGTAATATTTTTCTCTGAAAAGAAGAAATCATATAATCATAGAACAAAAAGTCAAGTCATACTGTCATAGTTTGTATGTGAAAAGCTAGATTTTTTAGTCATATTCCGGTATTCAGAGAGATAGCATTTGAGTAAAACAACCACCGGGCAACAAAATTTCACCAAAAACATTAGAAAATTTGTATAGTTTTCTTTAATTTTTTGGAAAGAAAAATTTGTAAGCAAAATGTCAAACTGTCCGGAGTTTGGTTGGGAGTACAGTCATGGCCGAGGTCAGAGCAACAACTTCTCCCAGGTGAGTTTTTTACAGAGATACGTTGATAAAAACATTGTCATATCATTGAGGATATATATTTATGTTGTGCTAATGAACAAAATTTATAGATGGGAATGAATGGTTCGTCCCCTGGTGCTGGTCGCCAGTGGCTACATTCAAACCAAGCTTATACTGCGAATACTGGAAATACTGGCTCCATGCAAAATTCTGGACAGAACTCTTACGGCTCGCCTAGTGATCCTTTTGAATCATACAATCAAAGTATGATGAATCAATATGGAAAATACAATCCCTCCTACGGACATTCCCTAATGGGGTAAGCTCATATAAAGTTTTATATTTCTGTGGCTTTAGTTTCATATAATTTCCTAGACCCGCTACGGTCAATGTCATGATGCAAGATTCGCCTCAAGGAATGGGCAATGGAATGGGTCATGGAATGGATGAATCTATGGGAATGGAGCAAAGCATGGGTCATTTCATGGGCCAGGGCATGGGTCAGGGCATGAGAAATGGCCATGGATCCATAGGTGCAAATCCGCGGTTATCTGGTGGCTTCACAAGAAGATCGAATGGTATGTAAAGTGCCTTTGCTCGGTATTTAGTTGTCAATAATTTTGTATCTTTACAGGACTCCAATAAACCATCCGCAGGCCACAGAGGAAGCTAGTTCTTATATCATCCTCTACTCCTGATCAAATTTCAGACCATTTCCACCGGAAAAGACATTCTGATCTATTACAATCATAATTTTAAGTGTATTTCAACCAAGCCTTGAACATGCATATTTTAAATAAATCAAAATATTGTATATGGCTAAATGGTGTTTCATTAATAATATATCTATACTATTTCAATCTTGAAAGCTACCTATCTATTTCACTATCCATCAATTAACTTAATGACATCTAAATATTGGGCATATATATCAAGCTAATCTCACGTGTCCTTTGCTTATCCATGACCATTTAATTGTAATCGATATTCAAATATTACCAGGGGTCAAAAGGATCCATTAACGACGGGTGACCTTCCGCCTTGTAGTGCCTCTGACCTCTGTCACCGGGGATCTTTGCATGGAAATCAGTGGAGGGAATATGCTAGAATGGGGTGGCTTGGGATGTCGCAAGGGCATAAATTACAAATGCAATGTATTTGTATGTATAAATTATGATGATACTATTAGTTAGCATGTCATTTGGCAGCGGGTCTATAAATTACGGACAGGCAACAACTGCGCCCTGTTCCGGCTGCATTCACGCTTTTGGACATCCGTTTTTTTCTTCGATTTTTGGGGAGTTTTTATTAATAAATTTCCATATACTTACGACTCCCAAAAAAGGGGCCCCACTTTCTTGGGAGACTCCTACCATTGGATCCACGCGCGTGTGTAATGATCTGTCGCCCTGGATCAGGGCACCGGATTAATGGTAACCGAACACATTTTTCATCGAACATTCTGTTGCATTTTTCCTCGATTTTTGTGTGTTTTTTACGCGCGGAATTCTTTTCTTTTTTCTAGAAAAACTATGTAATTTATTTGTGGGCAGCAGCAGTAGGCGGTGAGGGGGCAGCTCAGTAAACTATCTGGAATTGCTACGGTTATGAGACAGTTCGTCGTGCTCCAAAACCCGGCGACAATAGTTCCGCTCCGCTGTCCGATATCCGATGGAAAACCTTTTGGCGGATACCCGGACGGAATGCCAGTCACGTCTTAGCCCAAGAATACAATAATCACTCGCTCTTTTCAGCCTTTTAATTCAGTTTATATACCCTTTCAAGGGTTTTATAATTGTAGTAAGAAGCTTGTTACACTGTGAAGGAATCATTTCCGACCCTATAAATCATATACATATGTTCTTGATCAGAATTATTTGTTAACCTTCTGAAAATATAATTGGACAACTTTCCGAAATAAAATAAATTAATTTTTTACTTAGTCATGATTTTTTTAACTTTGGTTTTAGGAACAAATTGTCATATAAAAATATATATTATTTACCAAACGATCCTATAATTCAATTGCAAACTTCAAGGGTACATAAACTTCGGCTTTCTGCAGTTAGTTTCCAGTCTTTTTATGTTTTACTTTTCGTGTTAGATATGTATATGTAACATTAACTTAATCCGTGACGAAGGGTCACAAATAAATTAAAACAATTGAAATATACATTAACATTTCTCGACCCAAGTGAGGTCTTTACACCTCTTTTACAGCTGTGATCAGAGGGAATCATTGGTATGAAAAGCATTTTGGACTTGTAAGGAGTTAATACAAGATTCATACTGAGAGTATCTTGAGTTATTTAAAAACAATTATATTAAAAAAACAATTATAATGGAAGAAGTTCAAAATAAAATATAATTATTAGTTTTCACATCTTATTTGTATCATACTTCTCCAGCAACATGAATTCATAGCTTAATCATAAAGAATTTTTAGTTGTTTACAAAAAGATATAGAGGACTTAGAGGAACTAGTTTTAGTACAACAAATTATATTATAGGGTACTGAGTACTCTCCCTTCCACATCGAGTAGTTTGAAATAGTATCTTGGTGTTATTTTAATTGTATTCCTATTATTTCTTTTGTTTTTTCCCTCTCCATGGCCATGTCTTGGTTGTTTTTTGTTTTTCGTTTCGAATTTGTTTTCTATGCACTTATTTAATTGTGTTTTTTATATTTATTATGTGCTTTTCTCAAGTCGCCTTTTAATGTGCGCCACATTTACGTAAAATGTGTTTTTAATTTATTTTCTAGACCGCTTTTGTCGCTTTATCGAGCTCATCGGGTTCAGGTTTAATTTCAGTTGATTCGTATTCGGACTCTGGTTTTTTTCTTTTTTTGGTTTTTGGGTCTAGGTTTAGGTCCACGGGAAAAGGCAAGGCGATAAGCACGCACCATTTTGGTGGTTTTTTGAATTCAAATTGAGTTTTTATTTTCGGGTTTTAGTTGATGTAGTTGCTTTTATTGCCGCGGCTTTAGTGCCGTGTAATGAAGGGTTTATGGGGCACTACGCGAAGTTATATTAAGTACCAGGCCCAGTTTCAGGAGAGTATTGTCTTCTTACTTGGCTTTTATGGAGCCCTGTGTTGAGGCGATAGTTTCTGTTAGATGACTTTTCCGAGCTATCAATCTGCGTCACACGATTTTATAGATATCACAATGGATAAGGCTCTGTTTAGAAATTAGAAAATGGTAGAAAAGGAAGGGGTTTAAGACAAAGAAAGTACTCCATACTCATACCAGTCCCTTTGAAGAAGATTATTATTCTGTTATATAAATGCGAATATTTACGTTTGAAACAACTTCAATTTAATTATCTTGATTTCAAAGAAATAACTACTTAATGCAGACACTCCCACACATATTTTAAAACCAAGTGTATAAATTTGCAAAACAATGCCAAATTGCTGAGATTGAAATGATATATATATATCTGTTAGAAGCTAACTGGCCCCTGATTCAGGGGTTTCAGATTTCGCGTTGTTTGAGCGGGGGAAGTTGGCAAAAAACAGCCATAAAATCAACACTTTGGTTAGCAAAACAAACCGTTTAATGCAAAAACAGGCGACAGCAACTAGCCACACCTGGTCTTTTTTTCTTTTAGTGAATAAAAAACGTGATGTGCGAATGCCGTGTATTGATAAGGGCGTGTCCCCCTGGGTGCAATGCAAAATACATAAAAAAAAAACAATTTGCAGCAATTTGTTCAACATTTTTGTTGAAAAACCGCAGATATCAATTGTCGGTTCAAGTGTCCCGGGGCAGTGGTTCCTTTGCTGTTCCAAATCAATTAATATGCTCCACTTTTTAGTGACATTTCTATTGGAGCGTAATTGAATCATAGGTGACACTGCCCGCTCCTCCCAAATTTCTCCCCTCGGGTCCCATTTTTCATGTTTCGTGTTTTGTGTAATTCCAGCTGCCATCGAAACTGTGATGGCCAACCCTGTGTTAGGGCCAGTTGACAACTCTATTTGGTGTCCACCCACTGGGTGACCCGATGCATTTATCACCCCGAATCCGAATCCGAGTAATAGTGCGCGTCCGAGTCCCGAATTTTAGCCCAGATACCAGCGGGTGGTGTCCTGGCCAGTGTCCGGCCGGGAAGCGATTAACCTTCGCGTGGAGTGGTGTCAGTTTAAAGTTGCCATTAACACGCCATTGTTCTCGGCCTTTATGGTCACTTTTCACCCCCATCTTTTGCGTCTTTTCAAGCTATATTATATATATTTTGGGTATTCCCAAAAAGAAGTCCAGGGCGGATCCGCGATCTAATTTCTTAATAGTTGATTGATATGTCCAGCAAGAATGGGGAGGAGGAGAAATTAGATATATCATTCGAAACCCAGTAAATCGTTGATAAATCCCATGCCTTATGATCAGAAAGTAACTTTGACCAGTAAATATCTATGATCAGAACTTAACTTTGAACACTAATAAACAATGACTTGCAACTTTTGTAACACAACACATACCTGAGACTTGGCCGGCAGCAGTCACTTCGTTCCGGGGATGTTAGAACCACTTGGGAATCATATGTACAGATGTGTGAGAATTGTTTTGGAACAAATTTAAGCTATTTGACTGAAACTATTGAGTTATTTTTCTAAATAAATTTTCTAATATATAATTCGGAGCATGACGAATCGGTGGACTATATACATATATATATATATAGCTGACATAGGAACAATCGGACGATGTATAGAACTATGATAAGAAAGTAACTAGGACCAATTATTAACTATCATCAGTAAGTCCCTATGAACTTTTAATTACTCTGAACAGTAAGTATCTATGAGCAGTAAGTAACTATGAGCAGTGAGTATCTATGAACAGTGAGTAACTATGATCAGTAAGTATCTATGACAAGTAAGTATCTATGATCAGTAATTAACTTTGATAACTAATAAACAATGACTTGCAACTTTTGTAACACAACACATACCTTAGACTTGGCCGGCAGCAGTCACTTCGTTCCGGGGATGTTAGAACCACTTGGGAATCATATGTACAGATGTGCGAGATTTGTTTTGGACCAAATTTAAGTTATTTGACTGAAACTACTGATTTATTTTCCTACATAATTTTACTAATACATAAATCAGAGCATGGCGAATCGGTGGACTATATATTTACATATATATAGCTGCCATAGGGGCGATCGGAAAATTACAAAAATATATATTATAAGTTTTCCAGTTTTTAACAGATTCTTATTAAATTTTATGTAAAGCCATTATATTATTTTTGTGTAAAATTTCCTCTCTCATTTCTTATTCGATTTACCTTGTTTTTACTAATGTTTAAACCAAGCTACAATTCCAAATACTAAACTCCCCTTATTTTATTTTAGACTAAAACCCCTTACTTCAATACTGACCAAATCAAATCGCTGAAGAGGGAAAACCAACATTTCTTAATAACCATAAAAACCCATTCGATGGCTCAGAAAGTAATCAGGAAATTGTTACCATCATTTCAAAGCGGGTAAGCGACAGCTGCCACCAGATGAATGACCATCGATTTTATTTTATTTGTCTTTCCACTCGAATCGATAGATAGAAAAAAGGGAGCAATGCCAACAATTGCGCTAATTTCGAATTAAATTTTTAATCTCCAGCCGATGAGCAGTGTGCTGGGCCCATTATCCATTATCCACCCACATGTGTGGCTCCTTCCGGTCATTCCATTCACCCCTAGTACGGGTCATCTATTCCACTGACCGACGGCCATTCTCGCCTCTCCTTTCCCTGAACACAAAGACAAATGTCAAAATTAACGAAGGATTTGGCGATTTAACGCTCAAAAACC